GGATCCAAGAGAAAGAGTGCGCACGAAAGCAATAGAACGGAAACGATGTTCAACGTCTTCCATTCCTTCATCAGCGAGTCGATGAACTCTTCCCACGAGGCTTTGAAAATCAGCAAGGCGACGGGTAGAGTAGGTGTCGCAATCTCCGGATATGGCTGCTGCTGCTGCAACAACATCGAGTACGGCGGCGGCTGCACATTCCACTGCTCCGCCCTGGCTTTCGCCATCTGCTCGATATCAAAATGATTCAGCCGGGCGTCCTCGAACACTCGCGTAACTCGCGAAAAGTACAGCGACGGGATTCTCAGCAGGATGAGCAGGTAGAGCTGCCGTGGGAAGAAGTCCGTAACGACAAATGCAGCGTCGAGAAGCGAGGACCACAGGGTGCCGGACGTCCTTGGTGATGTTGCTACGAGCGTCACGGGGAGTGGCAGTTCAGATGTGGATGAATCGGGGGGAACGGCAATCGCGACTGGAGGCAGGCGGGCAGGATAGCCCGCCTCAGCTGCCGGATCCCACTGTGGGCGAGCAGCGGGAGAATCAAGACGGCTCTCTTCGTCGATATTTTCTGGTCGTGAAGCCTCTCTCCGAATAGACATCGAGCGCGAAGCACCTGGGCTTCGATGGGGACCGAGATCAGGGGGCGAGGGGCTGTCATCATAAGGACCCTCGTGTTCTCGAGCATGACGGCTTCTCGACCAAGTTGGAGAGCGAGACGGGGAGCCAGATCGAGGGTGCTGGCGACGAGCGTAACGACCACGGTCGCCGTGAGAAAGAGAGCTTCCACTGCGACTACTAAACGAAGTCCATGGACTGTATCTCCTGCCCGTGGAGCGCTCAGAACGTGCCGGTTCTTCCGGCGACCTCTCTCCGTTTCTGCCCTGGGATTCCGCGATAGTGTCAGGGCGTTCAGGCGGATCGAACTGTTCCCTGTTGCTCGCAGGGCTATGCTTTGGCGTCAAGATTGCTTGCAGGGGGGTACCTGTAATCGGTGCGCTGTGCTCCGGTTGTGGTGGTGGAGACCTGGGTCGATGTATGGACGCCGGCTGACAGATCGCGTCCTCCACAACATGATAGACAGGATTGCGGCCCGGATTTGGGGCTGGGATCGGTCTCTGCTCCGAAGGAGGTTCAGCGGACATCCTATCTGGCGGCAGGAATGGTTCCGGGTGACTCCCTGTCCCCATTCCAACAGGCGAGTTCCACATATCCCCGCTTGGATTCCGAGGATCAACCATACCGTTCGTCGGTGAGCCGTCATGGCCCATAGACGCGTAGGGGTAGTTGGGACCGTGAGCAGGATGTGCACGGTGCTTTGCATCGCCCGGAATGTCGTCGTCTGATACAACGTGTTGGACTCCAATCCCACATTCTGCATCCGGAGCAGTGTCTCTCCTGCCCCGCTTCCACCAGCGTTCTGGAATTTCAAACGGATTGACGGCGGTGAATAGCTGCGCACGCTGGGGGTGTGTGCTGAGGGTCAGGGGAAGGTAGGAGTAACTTGGTCCGAGGTTCCTTCCCGCAGCCTCATAGCCATTGCGCTGACCGAGTAGAACGTTTCTGCGCTCATCAACGGCGTGAGCGGTTGGGGAATTCAAAGGGACCATCACCGGCATGAGAGTGGAAGCTGCTGGATACTAGCATGTCATTCAGTCGGTAAGTTTGCAGCGATGGTACTGGGTTTCTGCCGCACTTAGCGTGGAGAGGATAGAGAAAACCGTAGACAGCTGCGGGACGGGGAGATGGTCTGTGGTAAGCGCTCCAATTCCAGCATGGCGCCTGGGCTCGGAACTGAAGGATCAGATTCAAGGGAAGCAGGTGGCGAGGGTGGAGGAAGATGCGTCAGGTGAGCGGCTACAGTATGTGCACAGCCATCGCCTAACATCTGTCATTGCCAGTGCCAGTTCCACAGATATTCATATGATATATTCCGACGGCTGTCGAATCTTCTGTTACACGATACATTTAGTTACTACACGCATTTTCACGCCCGCGATCAGTGGTGGAATAGACGGAGTGAGGTGTGAGCAAAGACGATGCCATGCTCATCAGCCGCTTTGATGCACTCGGCGTCCATGACACTGCCGCTCGGGGCAGCCAGGTACCTCACGCCGCTCTTGCGGGCACGATGCACGTTGTCAGGGAACGGGAAGAACGCGTCGCTCGAGCACGCAACCCCATCCAGCTTCGCCGCCCACTCGGCTCGCTCCTCAGCTGTTAGCGGAGCCACGGCACCCTCAAACATGCCCTCCCACTGCTCCTTCTCCCCGCCCTCCAGGACCTCTCCGCTCACAAACAGATCGATGGCATTCGCCTTTTCGGCACGCTTGACGCCCTTCTTGAACGGCAGCGCAAGAGTCCGCGGGTGATGGCGCAGCCACCATAAATCGGCCTTGCCTCCCGCGAGCCGGGTGCAATGGATGCGCGACTGCTGGCCGGCGCCGAGACCGATGATGGCCCCGTTTTTGGCGTACCCGACACTGTTCGATTGCGTGTACTTGAGCGCCAGCGTCGCGAGGATCAGGTCCGTTTTGGCTTCGGTCGGCAGCTGCAAGGTACATGTAATTAGCTGCGCGAGTCCCGGCCAAAGGAGAACCTACCTCGCTGGCTTTGGTGACAATGTTCGAGAAAAGCGAAGCATCAATCTTGGCATTGTTGCGGCGCTGCTGCAGGTGCACGCCGTACACCTGCTTCGTCTCAATCTCGTCGGGAACGTAGTTCGGATCGATCTACGCGCGCGTCAGATATATCACTCTGTGTGTGTTTCAAATCCCGGACTGGCGGCTCACCTCGAGGACGCAGTACTTTCCGGCCTTTTTCTTCGCCAAAACTTCCAATGCCTCGGGCGTGTATCCCGGGGCGATGATTCCGTCCGACACCTCTCGCGAGATGATCTTCGCCGTCGCCAGATCGCACGGCGCGCTGAGTCCAATAAAGTCCCCAAACGAGGACATCCGGTCAGCACCCCGCGCACGAGCGTAGGCACAGGCGAGCGGAGTGAGTGGCTCCTTGAGGTCGTCTACACCGTACACCTTTTTCTCCGTTTCGTCAAGGGCAATTCCGACAGCAGCTCCGGCGGGGGAGACATGCTTGAAGGATGCAGCGGCAGGCAGGCCCAAGGCCTCTTGCAGCTCCTTCACAAGAGCGTACGAGTTGAGGGCGTCGAGCAGGTTGATGTATCCGGGAGAACCGCAAAGAACTGTGGAGATGCATGAGAAACGGCACCAACAGAGATGCACCCGGAGACATGCCTTTGAAAGGCAGGGCGCCGTGAGTGACATAAGCCTGGGCCGGTTTCTGGTGAGGGTTGGCGCCGTAACGGAGCGCCATCCGCTGAACGGGCCCAGAGAGCTTGTCCGCAGGCAGCTCCGCTGACGCATACTGCTCCCTGAAATACCCACTGATTGCCTCGTCGTACGTCGCAGTCATCTCAAACGCCTTCAACGACAACTTGTTCCGGATCGCCTGGCCGACCTCGCCACTTCCTGCCTTCCACGCTTCGAGGAACTCTGCGTAATCCGCCGGATCAGAGATCACCGAAACGCGCGCATGGTTCTTCGCTGCCGCACGGAGGAGCGTGACACCCCCGATATCGACCTCCTCCACGGCATCGGCAAGGGTGCAGTTCGGCTGCGCAATGGTCGACGTGAACGGGTACAGGTTGCACACAACGATCGAAATGGGCGCGATACCCTGGGCAGCGAGATCTTTCTCGTCTGAGGGAATAGAACGTGCCAAGATACCACCATGCACAGCGGGGTGCAACGTCTTCACGCGGCCACCGAGCATCTCTGGCGCTTTGGTTATGTCGGAGACATCCCTGAAAAAGAGTGGATCAGAGGGTAGCAGAGGCGCAAACCGATAAAACGCACTCAATGGGAATACCTGCTTCCCGGATCTTCTTCGCAGTTCCACCAGACCCCAGCAGTCGAACGCCTGCGGCATGCAGGCCCTGGGCGAACTCGAGCAGGCCAGTCTTATCGTACACAGAGAGTAGCGCTTGTTGTGAGTCAGAGGCACGAATGCAAGGTCCAGCGCTATAGTTTCGTGGACTCACCAATGTGTTGGCTCATCGTGGGATCCGTGAAGATTGCTGGAGAAGAGATCGGGCTAGATCAGGAAATTTGAAAATGAAGATATGATTGGATCTGACACGATCCCGTGACTGACGCGTCCTCGTGATTGAGTTCCTACTTCGCGACAAGGGTCTATTGCTCGGAAGGCCGCAATTATCTCGTAGTCCAGCAAAGACATATAAGCCCATTTCAGAGTTATTTTCGTGTATCTCGGTCGTGGAGGATCGGCAATGGTGCCCGTTACATGGGGATTAGGAGCGAGGGCCTAGTGATCCCATTGAGTTTTCCCAGTTAGAGTCCAGAATAAAGCGCTGAAATATAACCAGATATTATCTACTATCTGCTGATGTCTTCGATGTCAGGACATGCTCGTGACCGCTACGCCGAATCCAATTCACTGGGTCTAGAATTCACTCTTGACTAACAGCAAGGTCTACGTAGGGTCACTGAACGTTCAGGCTAGTTGAGGCGAGAGGATTCGAGCGTTCCGGTTCGTAGAGCACATAATTGCCGATTCAGGTCAGATGATCGACCCCATAGCGTTGAAGTTACACTTCCCTAGAGAGGATCATACTCGGTGAGGAAAATTCGAGTTGAAATGGCGGTGCAGACTGGCATCAATAGCATAACATTGTAGATCGCGATCGCTTCTGACTGCATCGTTCTGCCTATCGATACTGGATCTGATCCCAGTTTATCTCATCACAAAAACCTGTAAACCAATGGTTTATGTCTCTGATTCATTGTGTTTGTTAGGATGAGTGCATGTCGTTATTCTCGTCATGGACAGTCTGGGTTTAGAATCAGACGGCTATTGTCAGAGACTCTCCCGCTGCTTAGCAAGATATCTTCCCCACTCTTGCACTTCAGGATGTCGGATGCGGGGCAAGCTCGAGTCAAAGAACGGCTGAAGGCTCTTCCCATGCGCCCGCTCGTATTCTGAGGCTGAAGAAAGCTCGCGTAAGCATCGGACACGCGCACATCCACCACCGGAAAGAAGCAAGAACCTTGGCAGGCCATCTCGAACCGATCCAGATCTGGCCGTGGTGTAAGGACCATGCCATTGGCTTCAGACGAAGACGAAGGAAGAACACACCTTTGACGAATTTCGCCTCGGGTGTCTGTCGTTCCTCGTATTCCTGGAATCGGGATGAGCGTGGGCAAAGAGAGATGACCCGGGGACTCATGAACTCACCTCCCAAAGCGCCCGGATTTTTAGGGCAGCGGGGCTATCGTGTAGCATTTCATGGACTATATTGTCCATGGCTTCCTGGAAGCAGAACGAGATAGTAAATCACTCAGAGGGGGTCATGTTTCAGACTCACTGCCTCGAGCCGTCTCTTCTCCTCGGACGTGAACCCCTCTCGCGGTGCTATATCACCAACTGGAACACGTATCGGATTTGCGACTAGCAATGGCAATGGACAAAGACTCACCATGGGCCTCTGCCAGATCGTGCACCAAGCAGAGCATCACGCATCTACGCACGGACATGATTAACCTGAAAACAGATCAAAGGTCCATGACACACTTGGCCACATCCAGCGTCTGGTCCGAGGTACACATCGCCAACATCGCCATCCTGTACATGTGATCCGAGATACTGCACAAGCACGGTGCGAATGAGCGGACGTTCACACTGGGCGCAATACACGCATGCACCTCTCTGGGTTCGGTATCTGCTCCTCGTAAGGTGCGCGACGAGATCTACAGCGCAAGCCGTGCACGCACGTCATGGTCGACCCATCCGGTCCGTTTCTGTGTCTGAGTACAGCAGCTCAGTGGGGAAAACGCGTCGGATGGACGTGGCGGACTGACCTTGAGACGCTCGAGGAGGTGGAAGAACGCGAGTCGGTCGGACGACGCGTCGCCTGTGGATTGATAAAGTGGTGGGAACTCACGCGTTTGGGACATGGCGGCAGAGGATGAGCGAGTGGATCAAAACTTTTAACCGGCCGATCAGCGGCAAGCACACCTTTGTTTGTTTGGGGTGACCCGAGTCGGATCGGGCCAAGCCAGGTCAAACCCTCGGGTTTTTTTTGGCAACAAGCCTTCGCCCGTAGCTACGCGAGTGAGTATATGCGGCTCACGGGCAGACCCGCAGCCTGCAGGCAAAACCCGTCGGTAAGATTATTACGGATGACGCGTACGCGTAATCCTTGTCATCAACCCGGATCAAAATTCGCGGATGCTCATCCGGGTGATCCGGGTGTGACCGAATCTGTGGCAATCCTTACGTTCGTTGCACCTCCATCACGAATTCTACCATCCATTCCAACGCGCGTCCCTCCGGCTCGTCAGTTTGCGCAGCCTCCGTCGAAAACTTGTCATAGAAAAACTCTGTGCTTGATCAGGGAACCCCGAAAATCACCGCGCTTAGCAGATAACCATCTGTCTTGGCTCATTCAAATGTTCTGGTATTGAGCCAGCTTACACCCCTTTTACCACATCATTGTGGCGATGGAAGTCGACGAGACCGGCCAGCTCGAAGCCTTGCGTCTCCGCGTCTCGACATTAGAGCGCGATCTCCAAACTGCGAACGCGGCGAAAGAGGAGGTGGAGCTCGAGCTGGACAGCTTCAGGGATGAGGTCAAGCATATCGAGCACGCTGGTCATGTACGTGAAGCTTGCGCTTTCTTGTGCCCACAGAACCTTCATAGGCTCTAATACATGGGTATAGGCGGCACGGAATCTTGCATCCTATGGACACTCGGACGAGATCATCTTCGTGCGCCCGGACGACCCTGACCAAGGCACGATCCAGCGGTTATCTAAAGGGACGGGGACGAGCGCCTCGGTCTGCCGGCTTATGGTCCGGTACAACATTGACCAGTTTCTCCAACGCCCCGTGCTCCATCAGTGGCTACAAAATGGCAAACTGTACAGGGTACGGCGGTTTTCATTCTGAATCCAACGCACCTCAACTGAGGCGGACATCACACAGCAAACAGGCGAACAGCAGTCCTCCCGTTTCGAGCTATTCTTCGACCTCCTGTTTGTCGGCATGGTGCACCAGATATCCGAGGCAGCAGCGGTGCAGCCTACGGGCTTAGGGTTACTCAAATACATTCTCACTTTCGCACCGGCATACAGCATCTGGTCTGATATGCGTGATATCGCGAACCGGTTCTCCAACGACGACGTGGTGCAGAGGGCCTACATCCTGTGGACCATGTTGCTGCTCGTGGGGTATTCGAATAACGCAAGCGCAATCGAGATAAGCTCTGCAGGCCAGAGTGAAGAGAGCAGATTGGCTATGCGATGGACGATGGGCTTCTATATAATCGCGAAAGCCTCCAAAGGTGCGTTAGTATCGTGTATCTTGTCCCCCCGCTTGCGGTTAATTCACCTCCAGTCCTTCTAACGCTCTCGTACTCACTATTTCTCCCCATGTCCCGCATTCCGCTCCAGTTTTCTGTCGTCGACCCGCTTCTCCAAGTCATCATCATTCTGATCGCCATCTCTGCCAACGTCTCCAACAGAGGGGTCATTGCGATCGTTGCGGTGAGCATTGTGGCTGATCATTTGATCCGAGTGTTGGCCGTCCTGCTCGACAAGACGATGGTCGTCCTGGGAAAACGGCATGACCGAAAACGGCGACTGCAGAGACAGCGCAGTGCGCAGAGGTTGTATCCTGGGAGCCCGCAAGAGGAGCTAGAGAAGGACTGGACTGGTGAGCTGGATGCGGACGTATCCAGGACTAGGAACAGCTCGATGACAGCGGTCAACGAGGAGGCTCCTTTGGAGGATATTCCAGCCTGCCATTGGGTTGCTGCGAAAGAAGACGTGCGGTTCCCAGGTAAGCGCTTAATTTTTGGGCGTCCAAGGCTGTGGCTGACCACAAGCCAGCCATCAACATCGAACATCTCGTTGAAAGGCTGGGCGCGTTCGTGACTATCGTTCTAGGAGAGATAGTCGTGAGCGTGTTCTTCGCAAGTTCAGCTGCGGCGGGAATCAACGCGTGAGTCATAGCGGTGATTATTTTTTAAAGATGTCCTCGCCTAACGCTTAACAGCGAGTCTGGTCGAGCATTTCTAGGACTGATGATTGCATTCAATCTCAACTGGATGTACTTCACCTCCCATGCAAGCAAGCACTTTGTGCATGCCATCCGTCGGCACTGGCTCGCTGGATACACTTTCTCCATGTTGCATTTCCCGATGTGCATGTCTCTGCTCCTTGCCTCATCAGCGATCAACCGCATGGTCGTGACTGAGTCGTTCACAACCAGCGAGGAGGGTGGACCCGGGCTCAAGTGGTTCTTTGGCGCAGGGCTGGGTGTCGCCGTGTTCACCATGGCTACAATCGGGGTGCTGCACAAGAACCTCGACGACCAGGAGGGTCTCCATCCGCATCATGTGCGCAAAGTCCTCAGGACGACCATCAGTCGGAGGGTCGTGCTTGGCATGCGTTTCGCGGCGAGCATTGTGATGATGTTGGTGCCGATCTCCTCGAGCCTGAACTCGATGCAGTTTCTGGCGATCTACGTCGGCATCACCGGGTTTCTGATCGTGGAAGAGACGATTGCGAGGATTGAGAAGCGTGACCAAGCGCTGGATGAAGAGATACCCGCGCGCATAAATGATCCGGGCACCAGTGTCTGACCTGGGAGGGACTGTTGCTCAAGCGCTTATGCCATGCCATGCCTGTCCCCGATTGACCTTTGTCAATGAATTAATATCTATTTATTATATGTACTGTCCACTATAATCGCGATGCCGGCGAGAGGCTTAGTTGGATGTCCTCAATCAAGTGCGCAAATGCTCAAATGTGTCTCCGAAGTGGTCGTCTACCGCTCATATCCGGTCCACCCACACCCGTAATTCGGACGGCGTGTCGGAGGCAACCATCCCCCGACATCATCATCAGAACAACTAATCACGCGACATCATATAACTTCAAGCGCCGCCCCCTCGTACTACTAATAGCGCTAAATACCCGGCAACTTGAGCTGTCCCCATTTCCCCGCAATGAAGGTCGCAGACAGGACATTCGTGGTATCAGGCGGGTGCGTGGCCCTGCTGACCCCATGAACTTCGCATCCGACACATAGCACATGCACACTCAGGTCCTCGGGACTAGGACTCGCCACCGTCCAAGGACTGCTCGCGGCCGAGGCCAAAGCCGTCATTCTCGACCTCCGTCCGCCCAAGGAGCAGTTCCCGGCCGACCGGGTGCTGTTCATCACCGCTGATCTCGCGCAGCACGACGGGCTCGAGCAGGCCGTCGACGAGGCAGCCGCGTGGGCCGCAGCCAACGGGGCGCCGCTCGGCGGGTTGGTGAACTGTGCTGGGATTGGTGGGAGCGGGGAACCGGTGTGTGTGTGTCCACCGAGGACACGTCGCTCCGTTCTCCGTTTAGCTCAACCGCGGTCGTAGATCATCGACGCGAAAGGCAATCCGCATTCGATGACAAACTGGGAACGCGTGATGGCTGTGAACGTTACCGGAACCTTCAATCTGTCGCGTCTGGTGCTTCGACACCTGATACGCGTGCCAGCGGAAAACGGGGACGGGGAGCGCGGCGTCATCATCCTCATTTCCAGCAATGCTGCGGTGCGTGATCATACCAGTCCTCACTTGCTTCGCAGCTGGCTCACATTGGGCTGCAGTACGAGGGGATGCCATCTACGATTGCTTACGCCGCCTCCAAAGGCGCGATCCGTTCCCTAGTCCTCCCCATGGCACGCGACTGCGCCCGTTTTGGCATCCGCGTCGTCGCAATCGCGCCTGGCCCCTTCGGGACACCGATGACGGACCAGTGGACAGATCGCGTCGCAAGCGGGATCACGAATATGGGTCTGTTGTTTCCCCGGCGGTACGGTGCACCGGAGGAGTTCGCGAAAACGGTCAACTGGGTCTTGGAGTGCGCATATATCAATGGGGAAAGTATAAAGATGACGGGTGGGGGGAGGTTACCAGCGAGGTTGTAATTGCGGATTTATTCTTAGATATCTTGGTCATCAGTGCTATTTCCTGCACTAGAATACACACTATTAAGCGCACCTGCGGTAGATGAAGACTCTACAGCTTTCCAGGCAGCCGTCCTGCGCCACTCAAGCGAATGGTCTCTCCATTCACATATGGGCACTCCAGGATCCAACGCACTGTCTGCCCAAATTCAGGCGCCTCGCCAAAGCGGGCCGGGTAGACAATCCCCTGTGTGACCAAGATCTTGCGCGCCTTGTCCGGGAGCTTATCCGTCATACTGCTCCGGAAGGCCCCTGGCGCAATAGTAACCACCCGAACGGCGTGTCGCGAGAGATCCCGGGCAAGAGGAAGCGTCATCGAATGCAGCGCGCCCTTGGTGGCAGAATACGCCGTTTGACCGGGTTGCCCTTCGAACTGCCGCATACATGCACTCAGTACGTGTGATTATCAGCAGAAAGGAAGCGAGAATCACCGCTGCGGCACTGGAGACCATCACCACCACGCCGCGTTCTCCATCTGGCCCGTCCTCGGGCGCGACCTTGATCAGGTGCCGGAGCGCAAGACGCGTGAGATTGAACGTCCCGGTCAACTTCACCGCGAGGGTGAAGTCCCAGAGGTCGACCGGATGGGGCTCGTTGTGCGCGTCGATGATCTTCGCGGCGGTCCCGACCCCGGCACAGTTGATGACCCCGCCCAGCGGAGCACCTACCTCCGACGCCCACGCGACGGTGCTATCGACGGCATGCTCGATCTGCGCGAGGTTGGTGATGTCTGTCTCGTAGAACTTGATTTTCGAGGACGATGGGGAAGAGAGGAGATGCTCCGGTGGAGTTGAGCGGTCGAGGATAGAGACGAAGGCGCCTGCCGCAATGAGATTCTCGACCGTGGCTAAACCAAGCCCGGAGGAACTGGATTCGTAGGTAAATTTAGGGAGAACGTCGATGGCTGTCGTAGGTACCTACCCTCCGGAGACAATGAATGTGCGTTGTGCAAGCTTCATTAGTCGTGTGCTGGAGTGGCCCGGTGAGATCTTCAAGTTAGGCTGTCCGGACGGACACCGGAAGCATTTTGCCGCAAACATGTGATATGTCAGCATCATCCCCGGATGATGATCGAGCTGAGCGAAGTGAACTCGAGTTCTTCTGCATGCCTATTTTTTTCGATGTTGACGCCGACGCCTATTCCAAGGACTCGGGAAGAGCGTCACATGAGGCTTTCCAATCACTCAGGTTTCCATGATTCATGTCGTTTTGCTTCGTCACCGTGTCGAGGAGATTTCCATCTGTCAGCCGACGTCGACAGTCGACCTGAATTGTTTTTCTCCAGCCGCCTGAGGTCGGAAATTAACACGGTCGGAAGAGCGGAGACAATTCCCGTTCTCGGCAGTTTGAATCTGGGTATAACCTAATCTCTCGCCAAAATGTCTTACTCATATCCCCCTCTCAAGTCCCGGGACCTGAGAGAGGAGGAAGATGGTGTATGGTAGAGAACTTGACAATGTCGGCACCGGTCTGAATCGAATGCGCATGACATGAGCCACCGATGATGGGCGATGGTGTCGCTCAGGAAAGCGCTCAGTACGGCTAAAACACTAGTAGTCACAAATGGAGAAAACTGTGGCACGGGAGAGAATCTCCTCCCTGTGCCATTGATAAATTCACGACAGCAAGTCGCGCGTAAGTAACAGCGGGGGCAGCAACGGAGATATCAGACATGTGGCGGTGTCTGCCCCGAGAAGCGGCCCGGAGAGAAGATGCTCCGAGGACTCGGGCATGCACCCATTACACTTCGCCTCGAACACCAACCTCCAGGACCGGCGCTGGAGAGTGTGCAACGTGCTGACTGGCGAATCCCTCCCAGAACGCAACCTCGATCTCGTGGATAGCGCTACGTGATAGCCTGTTTTACGTCCAGGTCAGAGCGTTTTACATACCAGCCCTGCTGAGCGCAAAGACTAAAGCCTGATGCTTAGTTTTCTTTCCCTTCTTGCTTACGGCGACGACGCTCTCTGAGACGGGACTGTGATACCTCTGTCGAGGGTGCGCCTGTGCGACGGCGTCTGGCTGGTGCGTGCGTGTGTCCCAGGATACCGGCTCGGAGTTTTGTAGCGCGGGGCAGGAATCTGTGCTGGCTCGTTGACAAAGTCGTGGCCCGCTTGCACGGTCCGGATGCGCGTGAGCAACTGAGCCTGTCGTCTGGAGTCACGTTGGATGTTCTTCCTTTCGAGTCTGTTCGTGCGCAGAGCCGATAACGCGTCTCTTCCACGCGACCCGCGACCCGTCATTATGGTTTTCCAGCCTATTCGGATCATCCTCACGTCTGCGAACAGGATCATATACTTGCGATCTTACAGTTTGGGCGACAGTGTACTTCGTGAGCACCCACTCGCTGACGGTCGGGGCGGAAGAGACTAACTCTGACGGATAGGTATCTTGTCGAATTTCTATACCCATCTCGACATTCGTGTGTCCTGCTTCTTATCGGGTTTTCGTGGTATTCGACCGTTTCAGGGACCCACGGCAAGCATTGAATATAATCGGGAGGTACTACAAGGGTTTACACGCTCTGATCCTATCTTGGCTGCATTTTAATACGGCTTTGCCGATTTCTCTCGCACTTTCCTCCCATGGCATCTGACGGCCGATACCTCTACTATCCATACAACGGATACTCAGCGCCCGGATCGAACTACCCGCCCCCTCGTCCGCTACGGTCCGACTCGGGGTCCTCGTCATCCCAGCCACCCCAGTCACCGGCGCAGTTCAGCCAGCCAACATCAGGCTCCTACACTTCTCAGCAGTCGCCACAGTCGCCGGTTCGCTATAGCCAGCCGCCTGCGCCATCTTATGGAGCTCCTCCTCCACAACAGTACAATTCTGGGCCAAGTTATATATCGTCAGCGAACACGACGGGGACACAGCAATGGTCGCCCTCCTCGGTGGCCCCATCGCAGCCCATCGTGACTCCGTCGCAGCCACAGGCGGGGACCAGCACATGGAGCACTCAGACGTACCAACCGCCGCCTCCTCCGCCGGGACCGGAGAGACAGGCTCCACCGCAACAACAGACTCAGCCGCACTATACGGTGCCCCCTCCCCCTCCTCGACCTGCCTCAAACGAGCAAACGCGAGCCTGGAATCACCCGCCATATGATTCCCGCTCCCGATTGAACGAGCCGCAGCAACGCATGTACCCACCGCCGCCTGTTCCGCCGCCCGAGTCGCCGGACATGCGGTCGAGTCGACGCCGCTGGGAGTCCTCGCCGTCGCCCGATCATCTGGCCCCAGCGATCAACTTCCACGAGCTGGTGAACTCGTATCACCGCATTCTCGAGGGGGCGAGGACAGACGCCCCTGTCGACCGCATGCTCCAGAATGCATCGTATGGTGCCCAGGTGCTGGAAAGTGCCAACATCCCGGCCGTCGTTCCACGCGCCATCCAGCCGCAGCCACAGCCACAGCCACAGCCCGAACGCGGCCGCATCGAAGCACCGAGGCCGATCGAGCCGCCGCAGCCGCCGCCACAGCCAGAGCGCAAGCGGACGCCCCCGCCGCGACGGCTCGAGCCGGCGCCCCCGCGCGAGAAGCCGGTGTCGTCGCCGGTGCTGGCCGAGGCCCCTTCGGCGCTGTCCGCGACATCCTCGGTGCTGATTCTGTCGAATCTCAAGAAGGGCGACGAGTTCATCCACACGGTGCCCGGGTCCGAGTCTACTACGCCGCTCAAGAGCGGCGTCCCCCAGCAATGCCTCGGGTGCCAAGCGACGTCGACGCCCGAGTGGCGTCGCGGACCGATGGGTGCGTGCCGTTCACCCGCTTTTACTTTTTGAATTCTGTTTTCCTTTCCTTTCACATCTCTTGTGTTGTGTTAACCATCTCGACAGGGCCCCGCACGCTCTGCAACGCGTGTGGGCTCGTCTACGCGAAGCTGGTCCGTAGCATCGATCTCTGCCTGACACGTTTTCTCATTCCCTGCTTCCTGCCAGGTCAAAAAACGGCTGCGTGGCGAGGCCGGGGCTGGCCCATCCGGCAGTCGCGGACAAGATGGGCCATCACCCGTGTCGGATGAGCAGCGACGGTGATATCGGCCTTAGGCCGTCTATGTTGGTTCGCTTTCGGTTGTGTTTTTTTTTGGTGTTTTTATTTGGGGCATTGTCGAGACCGTTTATTATATATGGTGCGCTGCGGGTCTCCTCCTCGCGCAGCTCAAGTACGATTGATCCATTCTTCTGCCCTGCAGCTCATGTTCGGCGTGAACCGTTTTCGATACGGGGACCGTGGTTGCGACACCTCGTGTATATTGTATACAGTAATCGTGGCACGCTGCTTGAACCTGAATCAGTTGCGGTGGATTAAAAGTACAATGCGTATGGAACTACAGTACATCTAACTATATAAGTCGACAAAAAACCCGATAAAGATATAAAAAACCCATCATCGACCGGGAGGTTGGCCCTTGACAGGGATCTGATGGTGCTGCTGCTGCTGCTGCTGTTGTTGTTGCTGCTGCTGCTGCTGTTGCATATGCTGTTGGGCGGCGCCATTGGCGTTTATCATCTGCATGGCGAGCCCATTCATCTGCATCGCAGCTGCGCTCTGCGGATGCCCCGCGGCCATCTGCCGCTGCTGCATGACCATGTGCTGCCACTGCGCCAACTGGGTGGCGTTCATCCCGTACCCGTGGTTGCGGTAGTACATCGACAGCTGCGCCTGCTGCTGAGGCGTCATTCCGCTCATCATCTGCGCAGCCTCTGTACCAGCAGATCCACCACCCGCTGCTGCTGCCGCCGCCACTGCGGGTGATCCAGCAGGGCGCACTGCGCCGTTCGGCGGGCGAGGCGAATTCACACCATTGGGCCGCAACCCGGTGTTGGCTGGCTGGTGGTACGTGTAGTTCAGCTGCTGGCCGTTGCCGTTCTGCTGCGGCTGATTCGGGTTTCCAGGGGGAATGGGCGACCGGGCAGCGACGATACGCTGTTGTTGGTTCAAGGTGGGCAGACCGCCGTTGGCGCCGCGGTTGGCCATCGCAGCCGCGGCAGCAGCAGCGTTCATGTTCATATTCATGCCCAGATTCATCGGCTGGGCCGGGCGCGGTGTCAATCGACCGTTCGGTTGTTGTTGTTGCTGCTGTTGCTGCTGTTGCTGGGCCTGCAGCGCAGCCGCTCTCTGCTGTTGCAATTGCTGGGCAGCCATGAATATCTGCTGCGACTGGGCATTTTTCATCACTCCACTCGGCGGGGGGAGCTTCGTCTGGCCGTTTACATTGGTCATCCGCGTGCCAGGTGGAACGGCAAACTGGTTCGCGCCAGCGAAATTCGGCGTCACAGATTGAGGGCGAGGTTGGATTGCCGCCGGGTTGGGGAACGCCTGGGGCTGAGCCTGCACCTTCACCTGCGGTTGAGTTTGGGCCGGAGTTTGGGATTGGGGGTGGGGTATCGGGGTGGGTACTGGAGCGGGATGGGACGGTGGAGGTTGAGATTGGGGCGGGGAGCTGGCTGCAGGGGTGACAGAGAACTGGTGCTGCAGTGGGGTGGGCGCGCGTTTTGCCTCGGCAGATTGTACAGGGAATACATGTGTCGGAGACGGTGTTTGGTTCAGGCTGGACGACCCATTCATAAACATCGGGGTCCCGTTTTGCTTTCTCAACTTGTCGACCGACACAGGTGACGGATGGGGTGGTTCGGTAGGAGGCACGGAAGGAGTTGGCGGTTTCGCAGCTTGCATAGCACGAGCCCTTTGGATGACGTCTAGAATCTTATAGCTGTAACGACGTGATTAGTTATAGCCCAAGACAACGAGAACTGCAAACGCACTTCTGACTGATACCCCGCCCAGGGCGAGGCGCCATGTACTGCATGATCTTCGTCCGGCGCGCCTTATCAATTTCGTCTTCCTCGGGATCCAGAGCCGCCGCCTTCCGCTTGAGAGACGTTGGCACCATTGGCGTCGATACACGCAGTGTGTGGTTGACGATGCGCGTGAGCAACGGATCCGGCGAGAGGCAGAGCGGTGGTGCAGTCAGTTGCTTTTTAAAATTTGAGTTTAAGCACACAACTGGCTTGCACGAAGTAGCGGTTGCTGTCACTCACGACGATCTTTGCTTCGACCTCCAGCGCCTGCTGGTCACTCCAGGTCGCACCGTGCTTCCGATTCAAGGCGCATAAGTCCGCGAAAAGCGTCTCTCCGTTCGGATGGAGCACGACTCGGGTCTTTCCCGGCTTGTCAAGCGGCGTGTCCTTCGCTTTTTGTTGCGGCCGGTAATCCAGGAGTTCGACGATCAGACAGCCTACAAGATTAGTGAGAAGAGTCTCCGGGCGTGCGCACGAATGTGCTCACCATCGTAGAATGGCACCTTGAGAGCGTCGAAGATTTCGAGAAAGTCGACCGGAATCCGGTGCGCTCTGATGTCATCCAGGAGGCTCTGCATGGACATCCGTCAGCAACAGGCTAATCGTATACGGAAACAAGACCTCTGACCGAAATTTGGTTATTGTACAAGAACTTGGACGCATTGTTGAGCGTCCAGTGCTCCGGATGCAGATGGACCGCGAACGAAGGTGGGCTCGAGGCGTTCCGTTCTAGCAAGTCCTGGGAGGTCTGTTCAGTGCGTTTCAGACACGAGGAAAGTTCTGGGAATCACCTCTGCATGTCGCGTCCGGTTGTAGTTGGCCATTGGGTCATAGACCGTGCACGGAGCAGAAGAGCAAGTAACTGGTGGCAGTGTAGGTGATGAGCATCACGTGCTGTCATTGTTTCCTCGAAGTGGACGACGATCAATCAGGTCTCAGGTTCAACTGGAGTTAGGGACTGGACCGAGTTTGATTGAAAATCATGGCGTGACATTGAATGCGACTGGTGCCCTATGCTCATCGCCAGGAATTACCAGGTGAGATCATATTTTCAACTTCTCGGTGTGAGGGTCCTGCATCTTGTTCTCGCAAAGAAGGGCACTTGAAGTACCCAGGATCGATACATAGTGAAAGATAAAGGCCCCATCAAGCATGGCACACACAGGATCTATTGGATCACTGCACGGCAGGCTCGTTACGACATCGGAGCACACAGCATATATGTAGACCCAAGATCAACATGCCTCACAGTAAGTAATACATCAAATCTCCGGCAACACAACGTCTTCTTCACCAAACGGGAACCCCAAAATTGCCTCATTCGGATTGCACGACGTATTTCAGCACCAGCCCAAAGGAACATCCGATAAATCACATATGGTGGCGTTTGCAGCCCCCGTTGTAGAGGACGACATGCGGCGGCGCGGATCCCGTCGCGAAAGGCATCTGGAGGACACTCGTTCCTGCCTCCCACACAGAACTGGGAATGTGTTGTTCAACGAAGATGTGTTAGGTGCACGAACGTATCGCTCACTTGTGTCCTAGGGCGCTGACGTCCGCGGTGTCGATAGCGATGAGGATGTCTCCGGACGACACGGTGTAGTTTCCACTCAGCCGCTTGTCTTTGGGATCCGCAGAGGGAAACGAAAGCTCGCCCTGGCCGCTCAAGATGATGACATACCTGACGCAACACACATAAAGGTCGATCGACAAATAGTCGGACAGACAAACTCACTGGGGTGCCGGCGCCCTATGCAGTCCAGCGACCGTTTTCTGCGTGAAGAGCGAATAGCTGCTGTTGCCGGTCGCGCCGAGATGCCCGAACGACAGCGCACCGACCGTCCCCGTGGCGGTGCTTTCGACGAACGCGGGCACGAAGGCCCAGCACCTGGGCAGCGGGTAAGCTCGGCAGCGCAGCTGGATTCAGAGTTGGGACGCGCGCGCACTCGAGTGAGGACAGGTTGCCCTTCCCTACCAACGCAGTCACAGTGAGATTGCTCGGCAGGGCCTTGGCCTTGGCCGCGGCGGCGGCAGGAAGCAGGGCCGGCACAGCGAGGATCGAAAGGAAGGCGGAGAGGACGGTGGAAGGGCGCATCTTGTCAGGGACCGGGTGCGAAGGGGCCAGAGCTGGGTCGCTTTATACTAATTGAGCAGCCCTTGAACATGATTGTTGGCGGCCGAACTTTGTTGATCCCTGCGCGTTTACGGCAAACGTTCGCGCCGCGACGATACGCCCGTCCGTCGAGATCGTAATTGAGGGCTCCCAGGTACCACTCCCATCGAGCCCGAGATCTAGTGGGTCCTTCGGCCGGTCGAGCAATCAACGACTTCGGGAGCACATCCCAGCCCTGCATCCCCTCAGAACGCGTGTCTTTTTTTGCCCTTGGCGCGGTCGCGTGGAACGATGCTTCGAAAACACAAGGCGAATGATATCAGATTCGAAGCACATGTACCGAATCAACCGCCTCCACACGCGTGACGCGAGTGTCCACCAAAGAATTCTCGGTGTTTATTCCGAACCTGACACAGTTTTAATCAGGTTTGACCGGAATGTCGGTAAAGGTAGAAGGTTGCAGACCCAGCTTGAGTGGTGCACTCGGAGAGTCAGAAACAAAGTTCCAGCAGCAGTCACATACTATCACGTGATTTTCGAATCGCGCGATTCGATGATAATCATGCGCTAACCCCGTCATCCACGTCCACACTATCCGGTCTCCAGCCGACTCCGAGGTCTCACGACCAGCTGAAATGGCCTTGGAGCCGGATCCTCTCGAAGCAACCCACGCTCGTCCCGGACAGATAGTGCCCAGAGCCATCAGACTCACCATCACCGAAGCGCGACATTGTCGAGTTGATCAGTGGAGACTGCAGACATCTGACAGATTTGGGGTCCGAGCTTTGTCCATCCTTTCGGTGCGTACCGTCACTCCCGCTTGCCTGAAATATCTGACGATTGGTTAGAGCGTGCCAGCACACACACACAGTTGGTCCTATCCGAGGCCCCCTTCCACCGCGCCGATACACACTTGATTCCTCGTCGAGAACCTCCCTAATAACGGCGTTCTTCCATCTGACATTGGGAACCGTCAGTGGGGATCAGGAGATACATGCAAAAGAAGTCCTTTCTTCGACCGCTTTAAACCTGGCGTGCGTGCCAGTGACATGTCCCCACCCGGGCTCTGGTCGTCCAGGCCAAACCACCCCTCTCACGACACTCTCCGTCATGACTGCCTTCGACGCCTCGAATCCGCTCGTCGAGATGAAGAGTGAGTGGGCTGCTTGCATTCCGCGCCGCACCGGGGTGCTCATACTCTGCCCAGTCACGTCCGCCGTGTGCAGCTCCATCGCGATTGCGTCGACGATATGCCGGTCCGTCCGGCGCGCCGCCTCGCTCAGTTGACTGCTGCTTACTGTGCCCTACAGGCTGTACCGTCGGCGACATCGACTCTGGGCTGACGACGCATGGGTTCTCGTGGCCTTTGTTGCGCTGCTCATACAGATCGTCGCTGTATTCTTGCATGTGCGATGTCCACTGCCTGTCACAAAGATGAGTCTGAACAGTTTTAAAGGTCCCGATGCCGAACCACCTACCACGGAAGGAGGGAGTGGCAGGTGCGCTTTCTTCCGCGCCGGAGGACGCGGTTGCTGACTGACCGCTCAGTGTACTATCTTATGGCTGCCACGTTCTACATTATCATCTGGTTCGTTCTTTCCGTCGGCGCAAACCGAAAACTCGAGTCTGACGCAGTGGCATGTATCGCAGGTCGTCCCGACTCAGCATTCTCTTCTCACTCGTGCGCCTGGATCCGGACCAGCGTCGGCGGAGGCGGCTGACGTGGATCGCCGTGCCGTTCACGGGGGCCATCGTTTTCTTTCTTGCCCAACTGCTCTGGACGTGCGAGCCCGAGCCCTCATGGAAGAAGGCGCCGAATCCGCAGTGCAAGCTCCCGCTGCAGGTGGCTCTGTGCCAGCTGATAAGTGCGTCTGATACGGGCATCTTGAGGCTGCATGCGCGGTACTCATCAATCTGCGCTACTTAGCGGACGTTATCGCTGACGCGATCCTCTTGGTCGCGCCGATTCCCCTTTTTCGATGCTTGTCAGACAGACCTCTGCGCCGCAAGCTGACGATCATCTTTTCGACTTGCGTCGTGACAACGATTGTGCGTTGCCAGCTCCCTCCCGCCTTGTGTCAGAGGGACGTCCTGACAGAGGCACTACAGGTGTCTCTCGTTCATGCCGCATTTATCCTGCGAAACGGCGGGGTCAAGGTGGTCATCTCGGCTCTGGTAGAGGTGCGTGCGCTGTCGCACGTGCGCGGCTGAATGCACCGCTGATTGATGAATTGCTATTGTTGTAGGACTGCATGTCGCTTGTTGTCGCGAATCTGCCTGTGGTCGTCACTGCGTTTGTGAACATGGACCAGGCTGACACGCAAGATCATATAACGACGACGACAGCCACCCTCCACTTCAATACCTTGCCCCGATTCGCTATCAACCCCTCCACCACCATGCGTGACACTGCAGTCGATCTGCCGCAGGCTGAAATTGGGCTGGCTGGCCACGCCCGGGGCGACAAGGCGACGAAGAAGACAAACAGCATATCGTGGGAGCCTGCACTGCGGCGGGAGGACAAAGCAAATTCGACCTTCTCAGAGACTGTCCATCCGGAGACTTCGTAAAGACGTTTTTGTCTGTCTTAAATTATGTGTATTATTGTACTAATCTGTAATCATGTAAACTGATTTCCTTCATTGTGATCTGATTTGATTCGATAGAGCAGATTACAGGTCAAGTAGATGGTCACTTTTGGTTTTTGCGGCGGCGAGCCGGTCCGCGACAGCCTTCAGATCGTCGTTATACAGAGGTTCCTTCTCGAATCCATTGATCACCACATCCAGCATCGCGCTGCAGCAGTCCTCGAGGGCGATAGTCGGCCAGCCGTTCTTCTCCGCCGTGGGCAGTAGCTCCGGCAACTCGGCGCGCTTCTTTATCAGTCCCGGCTTCACGGAGCCCGCCTTGAAGCCTGCGTGCTCTGCGGCGAAAGCGAGCACGAGATTCTCGACGTCGCCCTGCAATACGGTATCTGTGTGTGAGCGCCACAAAAACACGTGCCAGTCGCAGCATTCTCACGCGCATAAGGTGGGACCGGGACGAAGGTCCTTCCAGCTTCGTGCTTTGGTCCCGGACGGCCGTCGCTCCGCTCATGTAGAGAAACTGGAAGGGCGTCGCGGGTCCCGCGGCCGCGATCGTCTGCATCCCGATGCGCGTGGCCGTGTGGCTAATGCGCACAGCCTCTTCGTGCCCCACTTTAGCGTAGTTGGGCGTCTTGACTCCGACCGTCCTGTGTGCGTTTCGGTCTGAGGTTTTATTTCCGCGCTACAGCAAATCCTGCCGCGCTCCACGCACCAGATGCACGCGTCAGCGCCGGCGAACGCGTGCTTCGCCTCCTCGGTGTACTGGTCGTAGTCGGGCACAATCACGCTCGTGAACTTGCCCGCGGGCGCGCCCTCGGGAATCGTGACTGGCGATCGCGAAACCGTGACCACGCTGGTGATCGCGGCGTGCTTGGCTGCCAGGCGCAGCAGCTCGGTGGCGACGAATCCGGTTGCACCGGTGACGATGAGCTTCATGGTGTATAGATGTAGGTGAGGCGAGTAGCTAGTCCTAGTGGCTTGGACATGGTCGTTCAGTCGGTGTCGATTTTATCTTGGACGAACGGCGGAAGCAGACCGGACTGACAAGTTCGCGATGACGCCCCACCGTGTACAAGCTGACCGGTCATAATTCCATTATGACAGAACGCGGTCACGTTGAATTTGATCCTGTCATGTGTCGCGCCTGTTTTTCCCAGCGCTGAGTCAGGAAGCGATTTGCGTGCCGTCTTCCTCTTACATAATGAACCATCGGACTCAAGAAATTGCCAAGACCTTGCGACAAAAAGGCTCGCTATCCACCTGACATCCGTTAGACTCTGCATTATCAAGTTTAATTCAACTGGGTTGGCCGCCCGGAGAAATCCACATAATTGTGGATGTTCACACCATCCAAGTTGGCCATGGCGTAATATTGAGCCCACGAGCTCGTCTTGACTGAGAAACACTCGGAAACCGGAGTCAACTTTACAGAGGATTTAGCAGAACGATAAAGAATTTGCTGGCTGGCATTGTGTTCCGCCAGGGTATGAATGGTCGAAATCTAAGCTCTGCCTGAGCAGCTCATGAAAACACCAACGTTCGAGCTCAAATCATAGAATTGTTTGTGTCTTTGTATTACGAATGCGAGCTTGTACACCACCGCCTAGATTCGCCCCGCAAGAGCCGTCAGTTCGTCATTCGACACCGGATCCTTCTCAAATCCATTGACGACCATGTGCAACATCGCGCTGACGCAGTCCTCGAGGACAATAGTCGGCCAGCCATGGCCCTTCGCAAACTCGCGCGACGCCTCGAGTTTCGCGCGCTCAGTGATCAGTCCCGGTCGAACTGAGGCCGCCTCGAAGCCTGCGTGCTTAGCCGCAAATGCGAGGACGGCATTCTCGACGTCGCCCTGAACGCGCAAGTAAGGCCATCAATACCGATACGCGCAAATCGATAACGGCGGGAGACTCACGCGCATGAGGCGGAACCCAGCGAGCTCGCCTTCAAGCTTGGTACTTTGGTCGCGGACGGCCGCGTCGCCGCTCATGTAGCAGAACCGGAACGGCTTGGCGGGGGACGAGTCCGCGATCGCCTGCAACCCAGCCAGCGTCGCTGTGTAAGACACGCGCTTACCCTCCTCCGGGCCGAGTGCCATGTACTTGGGAGGCGTGAGGCCCACGGTCCTGAGTAGAGTCGTCAGCGGCGATTCGTTCATCGATCAGCGATTTTCATGACGCACCAGATGCATCCGTTGGCCCCGGCAAACGCTGTCTTCGCCTCTTCGGTGTACTGGTCGTAGTCGCTCACGACGACGCTCTCGAACTTGCCCGCCGGCACGCCTTCGGGAGCCGCGATCGCACTGCGCGAGACTGTGACTATGCTGGTGATTTTCGGATGCTTCGATGCTTGAGACAGAATCTCTTTGCCAACGAAACCAGTCGCGCCGACGATGATGAGCTTCATAGTGGTAATGTGCAGGATGAGTTGCAAGCTCTGCCATTCCCCTAGCGCTTAAATAACTTAGACTGGGACGCCCCCTTCGAGATGCCGATGTGAACTGAACCTCAGTCAGCGTCGCCCTGTGTGCTTGCTTATCCGGTAAGATTGACGCGAAATTGATGGCTGGTCAGAGCTGCACCCCCAATGTCCCCTATGAATCCACGAGAGCTCCAACATCCCCATTAGTAAGCCAGAGCAGCTACGGTTAAACGGCTCGTCTTCCAATCAAGCCTGGCGCATCCTGAGCGTGGCATGGGGGTCACAAAACCAACAAGGCCAATGGATGAGTAAGGAAGAAAATTAGATGACTAAGCCTGCACTAGCGCACTTTGGCATGTGTCTCTGAATGGATGCATACCCGGAATGACATCCGCCATCACAACTTTTGATCAGGGGCTTCTGCTTGACGGCTCGAACGTCAATGAAGCAGCAGCTGCATAGTTTGCTGGCTAAAGATATGATACAATAATAATGCTGTGTAACAATCAAATCAGAGGCTGTTGTTAACATATATAACTTTAGCTGTTAAGATAGGGTCCATCAATGTTTGTACATTTGTTTGTATATTGATTGGGGAGTTTTCTCCCTGTCTCTGACCGTCATCCGGGTGCGACGCGGGCTCGACGTCAACAGATTCGCAGTCAGACTTGCGGGATTCACCCGCTCTGACATCGTCGCGGCCCGCTCGCGAACACAGGCCCGGCGTTGGGCAGGACGACTCCCTGTCAATATCACCCTAATCCACCACATCTTGCCTTTCAAAAATCCCCCACTCCATTTCCCGAATACAGGCACTCGCTGCAGGCACAAGATATCGATTCCCCCCCTCCCTCCCTCCCACACATACAACTCCTCACCCAATGTCGACAGATGTCACCCAGAGACGCAACGGTCGTCTGGGTGAGGGGGACTATAGGGGTGACGAGGGACCAGGGCGGGCCCGAGGATGTGCGGACGGTGCGAGAGTTGGACGTAGCATTGGAGATGCTCCCGATGTGAATCGTCACGCAGGAGCAGGGGGAGGGAGCAGACACATGAGATGTGGAGAGTCACAGAGTGCGACAGGTACGGCGGGCGGCTGGATCACAGAGCCGAACGCAGGGCGCTGCAACACGGGTCGGACCAAGCTCAGCCGGACAAAGGCGATTCGGAGAGCTATCAGGGGGACTCGACGGAGCGGCAAGGCGGAATCACGCATGTGGGAGTGGGCACTCAAAAAGGGAAACCGTCATGGCTTACGGGCGGCTGGCGCGATATGGATACGCGAAAGGCCAAGGCCTGGAATTCAAGTGACGAAATTTCAGATTTGTGGGTCGTGCTCAGACGCAGCGGTCATTCGCACGAGGGGGACTGTTAAGATAGGGTCCATCAATGTTTGTACATTTGTTTGTATATTGATTGGGGAGTTTTCTCCCTGTCTCTGACCGTCATCCGGGTGCGACGCGGGCTCGACGTCAACATTAGCCTGTTAAAATAAATTATTTATTGCAATTTGAATAATTGATGTCTCTTCCAAAAAAAAGAAAAAAAAGTTTCGTGTGAGCGGGTGCCACTAGGGTTAGTGCAGTTAGGGTTACCAGCACACAGTCGACACACTTTGCTTACTTCCCAATCTTACCAACCGCACATGGGCTGCCGGAAACTCGACAGCGCCAAAACCATTGCTGTGCGCCTTGTCAAGCGCGGGAAGCACACCCGACGCGAAATCGCTGATATCTGTGGATTCTCTACCCGTACACTCACACGCGCTCTGGGACAGTATCAATGCACCAGGAACACCAATACTGTTCCACATCCTGGTCGATGTGGACGTCAACCTCTCCTTCACAAGAACGACGTTGACTATCTCATTCACATCTCACAATACCAGCCAGGGAAGTTCTTGGACGAGTACCAAGATCTCCTTGCACGCGCATCCGTCACTGCCCCGTCCACATCACCACCATCCACTATGCATTCTGTCGTGCAGGAATAAATGTGAAACGCATCCAGCGCATGGCCATGGAGAGGGATCCGGTTCTGGAGGGCGACTTCATTGCACGCATAGCCGAGTATCCCACTGATAGGCTGGCTACCAGACGTGCTCTGCACCAGCTCTGTAAGGGGGTATTTTTGCGCTTTTTACAGAGTTTACTCTCAAACCACTCGGTGTATCATGTTGCGGTTGGCAGTGTTGCGTTCAGTAGGGCTTAAGGGTCTACTGCCCAGTCGACAACTGTGGATAGTGTCGACAATAGCAAGGCAGTCAGACCACTACTGTGGAATTGGTCTTATGAGTCTATACCAGGCTCAGGGCTATTAGTGACGAACGCTTGGACCGCGACAATTCCCCAAAAGGGATCTTTGTTGCGGTGACTTCTCAAAAGGGTCATTCTCTGCAGATGGGAACTTGGGCTGAAGGGCTGAGCAATGCTCGACGTTCTCGATATTACAACTACTACTGGACAGGACTTGCGTGACAAGATTGAACCAATCTTGTCGCGGCAACTCCCAGTTTTGGGTTAGACGTTTCCTCAGATCATGCCACAGCAACAACTTGTCACATGTCAGGATCCATTCGATCACGGGACATTGTGGACGCGTCGCGGTGACACTTCCAAGTGACACGGCGAGTTGCGTCCATACCCAAATACACTAAAACCGACACGGCTAGATCCGTGAGCCGAACCATGTGAGGAACGTCTGGCGTGCCTAGGGCCATACAGCTTCTTGGGGCACCCACGTTGGACTCACTTGCTAAGACATACCAGTTGGCCAATCCAGCACGCCGTATTCCAAAGGTATGACGCAGTGGGTTGGCCCACATCAAAAGTACCATATGGACTATGGGGCGGGGTCCTGATCACTCAGGACCTGTCCGATCATTCAACTTTCCCATTACCATAAAAAGCAACCGATCTTAGATAGCGTAGCTACTATGCAGTTGTACAGGACTTTACTAAGCATTGTCGTAAACAGTATAAGTAGCACGTTGTTTCTTTGTATTTGGGAAGCTTTCTCCCAGACTGTGAATCACTCTCATATCAGATTGTTTTGTACAATTTGCGTGCCACGTGATTCCACCCTAAGTTCTGTTACCTCTGCTTGGTCGCAACGAGTTGCTCCTCAGAGCACTTGTAGCTACTGTGATTTGAGTTTGACTCTTGAGATATCAGAAAGTCGGATTCGCCGCTTCTGGTTTAGTCGCGGCACTTAGTGTCGTCGTCTTTGGGCTTCGTTGAGATTGTTTCCACACCTCTAGTTTGGCAGTGCATTGACTAGTTGTGCTCGGGTAGTTTTGGTCAGTTGGCAGTGCGTTGACTTGAGAACTTTGGTTCCACACTTCTTGCTTGGCAGTGCGTTGACAAGTTGTGCTCGGGTTTTGGACATTGGATATTGGCTGTTAGTTGGCAGTGCGTTGACACGGCATTTTGGTTTTGTCAGTTGGCAGTGCGTCGACTTGACATCTTGGTTCTACTAGTTGGCAGTGCATCGACTCAGTATATTGGTTGTATCAGTTGGCAGTGCGTCGACTTGATATTTGGGCTTTGTGTCGCCATCTAGATGCTGTCGCTACAAGGGATCTTAATACTTCGTATTAAGTTCTGACTTGTGATATTATTGGTTGTGGTTGGATTAGTGTTGGATTTTGTTTGTATAGAAGATATTGGTTGAGACACCACTGTTTGCTATATATAAATTCTTGTTGTCGACTTTGTCTTCCGTGACTATTGGATCTGCATCTATTGAGAGTTGTGATTCTGGTGTTCTGTTCACCCCGAAGCCCTCGCATCTTTCACACACTGAGAAGCTGATTACGAGGAGTGTGAACGTGTTTATATTTGGGTTTGCTTTCATAGTAGATTCACTTGTGAGCGCGCCCTCAGCATTTCAGCGTTTATTGACATAAGCGTCGAGATGGAAGGGGAACAAGCAATGGAAGAGAGGGAGAAGAAAAGGAGAAAGGACGCACGTGCAAACAGGGCTGTTGTGCTCTGGCCCAATGGCGGGAGGATAACAACGCCATCAAGAAAAGGAACCTCAAAAAGAAGGAGGATTTCCACGCAGCCGTTGCCACATGGGAAGCCGAGAAAAAGGCAAATGGCTGTTGCAAGATGCGACCCAAGCCATTGCTGAGGGACTTTGAGTGCGAGAAACTGCTTCCGAGGCCCAAAGTGCATGCACAAGCCGAGTCCAACAACGAGAATGGTATGAGTAGTCTGGGATCAGGCTCCGATGAATCGGAATAGATGACGCAACGGAAGCATGGCGTGATGTGTGACGCATCCCATTAGCCTGAACTTCGGAGATAAGCAGATTTGAGATAGATCGCACTCCATTTGCACTGTTAGTACCCTTTCTGGACAGAAAGTTAGCACAATCTGTAGTCTACTATCTGATCTTAAATGCTACCATGTCATTTTGCACAGATCTGATATCAATATGGTGTTCAGTGTTCCATTAGATTTGGTCGTCCCATTAGCCCACCGATCACCGTAGTCAATGCACTGCCAAACTAGAGGTGTGGAACAATCTCAACAAAGCCAAAAGCAATAACACAAAGTGCTGCAACAAAAGCAGAAGCAGCGAATCCGACTTTCTTATATCTCAACTCAAAACTCAAATCACAGTAGCTACAAGTGCTCAAGGAGCAACTTGTCGCAACCAGGCCGGGGTAACAGAACTTCTTAGGGCGGAATCACGCAACACGCAAATTGCACAAAACAATCTGATATGGGTATGATTCACAGTCCAGGGGAAAGCTCCCTAATACAAAGAAACGGTGTGCTACTTATACTGTCTACGACAATGCTTAGTAAAGTCCTGTACAACTGCATAGTAGCTACGCTATCTAAGATCGGTTGCTTTTTATGGTAATGGGAAAGTTGAATGATCGGACAGGTCCTGACTGATCAGGACCCCACCCCATTGTCCATATGGTACTTTTGATGTAGGACAACCCACCGCGTCATACTTTTGGAATATGACATGCTGGATTGGCCAACTGGTATGTCTTAGCAAGTGAGTCCAACGTGGGTGCCCCAAGAAGCTGTATGGCCCTAGGCACGCCAGACGTTCCTCACATGGTTTGGCTCACGGATCTAGCCCATGTCGCTTTTGATGTGTTTGAGTATGGGCGCAACTCACCGTGACACTTAGAAGTGTCACCGCGACACGTCCACAATATCCCGTGATCAAGTGGATCCTGACGTGTGACAAGTCGTTGCCGTGGCATGATCTAAGGAAACATTCAACCCAAGGCTGGGAGTTGCTGCGATAAGATTGGTTCAATCTTGTCACGCAAGTCCTGTCCAGTAGTAGTTGCAATGTTGAGAATGTCACGCATCGCTAAGCCCTTCAGTCCAAGTTCCCATCTGCAGAGAATGACCCTTTTGAGGAGTCACCGCAACAAAAGATCCCTTTTGGGGAATTGTCGCGGTCCAAGTGTCCGTCACTAATAGTCCTGAGCCTGGTATAGACTTATAAGACCAATTCCACAGTAGTGGTCTGACTGCCTTGCTATCGTTGACACTATCCACAGTCGTTGACTGGACAGCAGACCCTTAAGTCCTACTGAGCGCAACACTGGCAACCGCGACACAATACACCGAATGGTTTGAGAGTAAACTCTGTAAAAGCGCAAAAATACGCCCTTATAGAGTTGGTGCAGAGCGCGTCTGGTAGCCAGCCTATCAGCGCTTGATCCCATCATCTGGCGGGGTCTGCCACGGGGTCAGTCTGGCATATTCTATATTTGACCTCCCTTAGCCGTAGCAGTAGTGCTGCTGACCACCAGGGCAAGAATACAAACATTTATGAAATATCTTATCAAGGTAGACAAAGCCAATAGGGCAGGTGAAGATGTGTAATTGGATATTGCAATTGATGCAGGGCCCAGTGCGGGGTCTGGTGCGGGGTCTGATGCGGGGTCTGGTGGGGGAGCAGGGGCAGGGGTGGATTACACGAAATTTTGATGTATCTACTCTGGCTAGGGTTGTAGAATGTCACATAACTTTTCTCTATTTTGGCAGGGAATGGGGGATAAAGATACACAACATTGCCTGCATGTTTTGGCTGGGTCTCCAGGTCAAGTCATGTTATTTACCAATGTTTCGGTGGGGGGTAGGAGATTAAAGCATGGTTTTGCCAGTACATTTTGGTGGAGTTTGTGGCTTCAAAAGGTGCTAACATATTAAAAAAATGCGCAACCACATGTGTTCAGCAAATCCCCCAAGTTGGTTGTCCAGTCACAGCTACATTGATCAGCAGGAATAGTCATGGCTACTGCTCCCCTTCCAATCAGCTGAAGTGGTCCTCCTGCTTTTTAAGGATTACTGCATCTCCCATGTTTCACTCTATTTAATAGCATATTTGACGCAGGTGTTACAAGCATTATTTGCTGGATTGAATATAACCTGTGAACATTACATTGAGACACTGTAATGAGTGTGTTAATACACAGAACCCTGACAAAGAATTGCGCAGAAACCTTGTGAATACAATTCTTGCAGGGGATTGGGCGGGGTTGACTGCGGGGGTGCGCCAGCCCCCGCTGGCCATTCAAATGTGGAGCAACCAGAGGAACACACATTGAAACACATTCCCATGCTTTTATACTGCAGCCCAAGCAACTTCAAGGTTATATCTACCCAATTCCAACAAAACAACTTGACTGCTCCTGTTTCTGGGTGACAATTGATTTTACAAGCTTGGGTGGGTTTTGCACATTCCAGTGAGAACAGAGGTCATCTGGTCGGAGGTAGGGGACCGAAACATTGTTAGACACCATATTCAAGATGACCAGACACTTACATCTCTTTAAAATGGCCCATATCCCACATTATAAAATACACTATACTTTGGATTCATTTTGTATTTTTGAATTGTTACAGCATCCAGCACTCCCCAGATTTTGTTCAGGCATTGCCAAAGGGTGTATCCTTCACCTGTGTGAAGTTGGGCCCTTGCAGAAAATATATTTTGCGCAATATGCAA